CTCTCGCGCTCTCTCTCTCTCTCTGTGTGTGTGTGTGTGTGTGTGTGTGTGTGTGTGTGTGTGTGTATATCCTATTTACTTCATGGAGGAGGGGACTGGGCGTACCTGTGCCACAGCGCACACTTGGAGGTCGGAGGACAATTTGCAGGAATTCTCTCCTTCCAACACCTAGGTCATCAGGCTTGAGGGCAAGAGCCTTTACAAGCAGAGCCCTCTAGCGGTAAGGCTGGTCTCTGGGAAATCAAGGAAGGCTCTCTGGCAAGGCTTTGGCAGGGATCTGAAGTAAGGGAGGAAAAACATTTCATATAAAGCCAACAGCATGGGTAAAGGTCCTTGACTTAGAAGGACTTGGATCCTATGGCCAGATCTGCCTGCTCTGTGTCCAGGCCGTTGGGCCACAGCTGGATAGGACTGAAGACACAAATCTTCCGTACTTCCCCTGAGCTGTGCTCCTTGCGAGGCTTGACTCCACTAAATGCCCACTCCATGGAAAGAAGGACAGCTAGACGCGTTTTCCGGCTATTATTCCCAATTACACCATGTTCAGCCTCTGTAGAATCATGCAGGAAAATGACTCCATTCCACTTTGCAGCAAATACAAATGTCCCATAATGGAATACCTTTGTGGTAGAAGTGTCTCACATCTGACAGAGCCCACTTGCTTGGCAAGATACCTGTTGGAATTTTTGTTGTTGTTGTTAACTGCATCTCACTGTCCAGGCCTGGCTACGCAGTCCAGGCTAGCCTCCAGCTCATCCTTCCACCTCCATCCCCTAAGTACATATTATAGGCGATGTCATTATGCCTGGAGTGATGGTTGCTTGTGATGGTAATTTTGATTGGATTAACAAAAGCCTAGGAGATTAGTGAAATGTACCCATGAGTGTGTATCTTAGGGTTTCCATTGCTGTGAAGAGACACCCTGACCATGGCAACTCCTATAAAGGAAAGCATTTCATTGGGTCTGTCGTACAGTTTCAGAAGTTTAGTCCATTATCATGGCAGGACATGGCAGAATGCAGGGAGACATGGTGCTAGAGAAGAGCTGAGAGTTCTGTATCTTGATCCTTGGGCAGCAGGAAGTGAACTAATTTGAGCTTCTGAGACCTCAAGCCCGCCCCCACAGTGACACACTTCCTCTAACAAGGACACACCCACTTCAACAAGGCCACACCTACTCCATCAAGACCCCATCTCCCTATAGTACCACTCCCTATGGGCCAAGCATTCAAATACTTGAGTCTCTGGGGGCCATACCTATTCAAACCACCACAGTGTGTTTGTAATGCCTTTTCCAGCAACAGCTAGAGCATGGTGAGCAGATGAACAGATGGTTTGTAATAAGTTGGCATTATTGAGAGGTGGGGAAAGGTAGAAGCTAGGACCTAGTTGGAAGAAGCAGATCACTGGGGACTCCTCTTGGTGGCTGCCTCTTGCCTTTGCTCCTTCCTATCTGCCATTTTCTCTGCCTCCTGGGTGCTGTGGAGTGAATTGCCCTGCTCTGCCATACTCTCTCTGCTGTCAACACTGGACATCTAGAACCAAGAGAGGAAGTAAATCTTCCCTCTTTAAGTTGCTTTTCATGACAGTTGACTTCAGCAACACAAAAAGCCTGACTAAATACACCTGTCTATGAGAAATATGAAAAGATTAGAGACTTGAACTGACCTCGCCAGATTCCTCTGGGTAATAACTCTAAGTTGTTGGCTCAAATAAATGAGTTTAGCCTTATGCTATGGATGTCAAGTCTCCTGGAAGTTTATCTATCTACAATCGGTTGTTTGAGGGGCAAGTCTGGGTATTTCAGAGCCAAGGGTATTGGGATAAAGCTCGAGGGGGGAGGTCCTTGAGTTGGGGACCATGGTGGATTCCATGTCAGGCAAGGGTGACCGAGGCAGAGGGACAAACACGTCAGGCAGACAGAGTGAGAAGTTTTATTAGAAAGGAGAGGTAGGGGGAAGGAAAGAGAAAAGAGGTAGAGAGACACAGAGAGAGGACAGGAGAGAAGAGGGAGACAGAAAAAGTCCTGTCCCAGAGGAACATCGGGGGAGGGGGTGGGGGAAGAGCAGGAAAGAGCTGGGAAAGAACAGAAAGAGAAGAGAGCTGAGAGAGAGAAGAGCCGAAAAGAGTGTAAACGGTCTGTCTTTTAAAAGGGTTCTTTGGAACCCTGGGGTGACCAGAGTACCTCCCAAGTGCATTCTGCCAGGTGATGGGGGGGGGGCAGGCCAACATAATGCCTGAATCCTTACAAAGGAGGCAGAGGGTTTATCTGCTTTCCCTGAGGTAATGGCTGTAGGATGTTACCTCCTGGCTACTAACTGCGTTGTGGGTGCTTTTCTGAGCCTGCTCCCCACTGTGTGGGAGATGCATGGCTAGTGTGTTGTAAGCATACTGTTGGGAAGCCAAACATTCTTTCATCAACCAAAGGCAAACTTCAAAGCCCACAAGCTTCCACCTGATCAAGCCTTCATAGAAGACTGAGAGCTGTTTTTTTGTTTGTTTGTTTTTTGTTTGTTTGTTTGTTTTTTGATCCTCTGTGGACTAGGGTGGCTCCATTAACTTTGAAGTTCATGGATGGACAGACAGACCCTTAGCCACACTTTACACATGTTTTTCCAAGAGTTTGAAAGCTCTGCCGTAGGATATTCTGTGTGGTATGGTGGCCTTGGGTCGGGTGGACCAGAGAGGCGCAGCACTGTCATTGGCTGGGCAAGGGACCTCTGTTGAATTTAGAGTTCCTTTTCTGTATTTTCATGATGTTGGGCAGACACTTCATCTCCAACTGTGGGGTGATTATCGAATGAGGGCGGGGGATGTATTTGGGGTGTGGGGGTGGAGCTGGCCTCCTTTCCTCGGCTCCAGAGTTATTTCTGTCTGAAGAACTAGGACCTGTGACTGTAATCAGGGCACCCCCATCTCCAGGCTATGCTGGAGACTGGGTCAAAATTATTTTTTTTTTCTTCACATTAACCTCCAGTTTCACGGAACTACCTCCAGAGTGGGAATGTCCTCTATCTTCCATGCCTTTTGGGGACAGTACAGCCTCAGTCCCCCATGTCAGTCCTTTCAATCAGTGGCACTGGCCAGCCGTCCACTGTAGCCACTGTACCTACCTTGGCCAGCAGAGGAAGCTAGAGCTAAGAGTTCCAGAAAGGCAAGAGCACTACCAACAGCAGAAATATGTCAATGGTATATTAATTAGTAACCTGCTGACTTTTTCTCAACATAGCCAGGCTTTGCAGAGGCCCCCTAGTGGTGCTAGAAAGAACCAGGGACCAAACAGCAGCTCTGTATGTGGCCACCAGGGGGCATAAACATGGCAAGAAGCACCAGGCATCTCCCTTCCAACCTTTGCCTGCAGCTACCCAAGCTAGCTTAGCACTAGGAAATGACACTTACCTGGAATAACATAGCAAGTGATGGGGGTTGCTTAACTCCTGGACTCAGATTTGGCTTTGAAATAGGCTGGTCCTGTCCCCAGCTAAAGCAAGCATCTTGACCAGTCTAATCTTCAGTACCACATTTGCAAATGAGAACTGTACCTCCCTCTCCAGGTATGGTGGTACATACATAACATTAATCTTGGGATCAAGGCAGAAGGGTCCTAAGTTCCAGGCTGGCCTGGGCTACAGAGTGAAATTTCAAAAAAGCCAATCTGGACATCATGGCACACACCTGTAATCCAATACTCAGTTCAAGGCCAGCCTAGGTTGTATGAGACCCTGTCTCAAAAAGAAAATTAGGGTAAGGGTATGCATCTTTAATGTAAGAGTATCATAGTACCAGTTAGATGGACCTAGTTATACCTCAGGGCAGGCTGTTAAAAAAAAAGCAAGCCTTTCTTTTTGACACATTTTATTTTGTTTTGTTTTCAAGGTTTCACTATGTAGTTCTGAGTGTCTTGGAACTCATTATGTAGACCAGACTGGCCTTGAAATCACAGACATATGTCTGCTTCTGCCTCCTGAGTGCTGGGGTTAAAGGTGTGTGCCGCCATGCCCTGCTTTTCTTTTTTTTCATCTTCTCGTTCCTCCTCCTCTTCTTTAACTTTCCTTTTCTTTTTTTTTTTAAAGACTTATTTATTTATTATGTGTACAGTGTTCTGCCTGCAGGTCATAAGAGGGCACCAGATATCATTATAGATCGTTGGGAACCACCATGGGGAATTGAACGCAGAACCTCTGGAAGAAGAGCTCGTCCTCTCAACCTCTGAGCCACCTCTCCATCCCAGCTTTCCTTTTCTTAAGATTTATTTTGTTTTAAAATTGTGTGTGTGTGTGTGTGTGTGTGTGTGTGTGCGTGTGCGCGTGCGCGCATATGCATCCATATGTGAGTTTGTGCATGTGTGAGTGGGAATGTCCTTGGAGAAGAAGCAACTGGGTCCCCTGGAGCTGTAGTTACAGGTGGTTGTGAGTGTGGCGGGTGCTAGGAATTGAACTGGGTTCTCTTCGAGAGAAATATGTGCTCTTCTCCACTGAGCCACTGAGCTCCAGATGAGCTACAGCTCATCTCTGTAGCTCCAATTGCCTTCTAAAACACCTTTCTGTCTTTCTGATTTCTACTAGGAATAGAAGCAACACAAGGCCCATCCCAGAAGTTGAGTAGATATCAGCTTCATTCAAGTGTCAGAGCTGTCAGCCAAAATAAAGACCTCTTCTTTAGACACTACTCAGCCTTGGGGAATCTATTACAGCAATAAAAAGCAGTGTTTGGAATTTTACTGAGTTATCAGCCGCCCGGAACAACCACCCCAGGGAACTCCTGCACTCCTTTATTTGTTGCTGCTGTGCTACCCAAGTCTTGAGTATGAATAAAAACATTAGATGATGTCATCACATCACATTTACATACCCATGCACACCACATTAAAATTACATAATTTGTATATGTAAATACAGTTTTGATTATGGCTGCATAATTGAATGTCTATGTTGTGGAACACTGTTCTCCAGGTATGACATGACCTTTATCCTCTTGAAATCAGAGTAGCCATTACTACCCATGGGAGACCCTTAGATAAAGGAGCCTATTAGCCTTTGCTTTAGCCTTTGCTTTGTGGAGAGGGGGAGGAGGGCTCACAAAGTGAGAAACAGTGAGAGATAGTCTGTGTAAGGCCTAATCCCTGGGGGAGACAGAGGTTTTCTTTGGTAGTATGGTCACCAGTAATTAGCTCATACAATTAAATTCATTAGTTCACCAAACTCAGTTGAATGGAATCTTTTCTCTGATCTGTTGTTGTACCCTAGTTGGAGGACTAGCCATGCGTTTATCTCTTCCCAAAAAATGCAATGCAACTGTATCTTATTATTTATCACAAATTACTATTCTTGCTATTACAAATAAGACATTAGATTGACTTTTTAAATCACATGTATAGGTAAATTATATTTTCATTTTATTTCATTTGAGGCTTTTACTGGAAGACAATGCATTTCCTTATATAAAGAAGTGTTAGAGCCAGGTGCAATGGAGGCTTTAATCCTAGCACTCGGGAGGCAGAGGCAGACAGATCTCTGTGAGTTTGAGGCCAGCCTGGTCTACTGCCACACCTGTGCTTATGTAAGGAATCCTAATCAAATTTAGTGTGTCACGGGGGTGGGCCTAGGCCCTATCCCAAAGGATACGATAGACTCTGATGGCATCCTATGGAAGGCATCAACATCCAGGGGGAGCAGAAAGGATATGTGATGGGTAGGGTTTTAGTTGGAGGGTAGGTGGTAGGGAGGAGAGGAGGGAGAAGGGAACTGAGGTTGTAATATAAAACAATCTTGTTTCTAATTCAAATAAAAAATCTGCAAAAAAAATTTAGTGTGTCATTTTTTTTTAAGGCATGGAATTAGGCAGGGAATTTTCTGGTAAGGAGGGGTTCAGAAGGAGTGGGAAAGGGTCAGAAAGGGTCATGGGTGAACAGTGTAAGGATTCAGGCATTATGATGGCCTGCCCCATGTCACCTGGCAGCATACACTCAGGCAATACCCCGATCAGCCCAGGCTACTACTTCACTACATAGTCTGCATGAAGGTGCAAAGGGCCTTTAAGAGAAAAACTCCACCAACTTCCGCTCTCTTTCCTGGTGTTCCTCTAAAGGGGCAGCAGGACTTTTCCTGTCTCTCTTCTTTCTCTCACTCTCTGTCCCCCTCCTCTTTCTCTTCTTTCCCTCCCCACTCCCTTCCCTTTCTAATAAAATCTCACTTAAGCTCTGTCTGCCTAGCATATTGGTCCCTCACCTGTCATAGAATCTGCCAAGGTTCCCCACTGCGATATTATAACAAACTTTCAAAATGCTGGGCTGGAGAGGTAGCTCAGAGGTTAAGAGCACTGGCTGCTCTTCCAGAGGTCCTAAGTTCAATTCCCAGCACCCACATGGTGGCTCACAACCATCTATAATTAGATCTGATGGACTCTTCTGCCTCCAGGCATACAGGCAGGCAGAACACTGTATATAAATATTAAAAAAAACTATCAAAATGAATTATACACATGTATGAAATTGTCAAGGACAAAAGAAAAAAGAAGCAAGCAGGAGCCTGGAGCACTCTAAAATAGTTTCTGAGCATCCTACAGATATAAAAGTGAAAGAGCCAGAAACTAAGAAGGTTTCGGAAGTGAACATTTTCACTTACTGTAAGTTCAAAATCAGGCAAATGTGATTTGTGCTACTGTAAGTCAGAACGGGTGTTTCTTTGAGGAGATAGCCATTTAGTGGTGACTTAGTAGGGTTGAGGTTCAGGGAAAACACTGTTGATCTGAGTGCTGAGTGCTGAGGTCTGTTTAGTTTGTAAATGTTTATCTATCACATTAAAATAACATGTAACCATTTTCCTGATAGTCTTACTGTTTTACTTCTTTTCTCATTGCTGTAATAAAAGCCTGACTAAGGGAAAAAAGGCTTTGTTTTGGTTCATAGTCCATGGTGGTGGGAGATGTCAAGACATTAGGAGCTTGAAGCAGCTGGTCATATCACAGCCACATCAAGAAGCAGAGAGCAATAAACACATGCTGTTGCTCAGGGGTTTGGGTTTTTTTTTTTTTTTTTTTTTTTTTTTTGCTTTTGTTTTTGTTTTTGTTTCTCCATTTATACAGCCAGGAAATGGTTCCACCCATAATGGACAGATCTTTCCACCGAAATTATATGATCAAGATTTTCCACAGGCATACCAAGAGGTGCATCTCCCTCATTCTAGAGTCTATCAAATTGGCAATTAACACTATTCATCATGCCTACAATTTTTTTTCAGCCAGTGTTTCATATAACCCTGGCTGTCCTGTAACTCATTATCTAAACCATGCTGGCCTCAAATTCACAGAGATCCACCTGCCTCAGCCTCCCAAGTGCTGGGATTAAAGGCATGCACCACCTCACAACCCCCGCCCCCCAAGAATATATTTTAGATCTGGAATGTTCCTCCAAAAGTTTATGTGATAAAAACTTGGTTTCTAGCAAGTTGCTATTAGGTATTATGTGTGTAGATACATTATAAAAGATAGAAGGGAATTGGAGGGATGGCTCAGCAGTTAAGAGTGCTTGCTGCTCAAGTCCCAGGACAGCCAGGGCTACACAGAGAAACCCTATCTCAAAACACAAAACAAAGCAAACAAAAGGAGGCTGCTCTCCGGAAGGTGGACTCAGCACCTCACTTGGGCAGCACAGTAGAGCTGAACCTGTGGGCAGGGGTGTGGGCAAGCCAGCACGGATGTTGTGAGCAGGGGAAAGCTGTCCCCATCATTCATCTGTCACATGGTGGCATGGGCACCGGAGAGATGCCTCCTCCACATGCCATTGAAAGGCCCAGGAATATAGAAATGTAAATTGTAAGCCCAAACACATTTTGGAAAAAAGCTGGCAGCCACTGTTAACCTTTAACAACCACTTTCTGCCTTAAGAGCAGACATCCTGGAAGCCACTGTGTACAGAGGTAAACTTTTAACAGTTGTCTCCTGTCTCCCTGCTTACCAGCTAGGCAGGTACAGCAGACAAGGTTAGCTTCTAACTGTTGCCTCTATTGGACCTTCTGTGTTGTATTCCCTTAATTTTTAACTGTCCTCCTCCATGACTCTATTTTCTGCCTTGCATTCTTTCAGGAACAGGGAAACGAAGATGTGTCAGCCACAGGCTTTTGCAAACATCCTAAACTAACATCTTAGAACCAAAAGTTGTAAAACCTAAAATGTAATGTGACTTTAAGCCTGACCTCAAGGTTGTAAAAGCTTTTTGACCCACACTGGGTGCTTGATTTTACTATAAGAAGAGGCCCCAAACCAGCCCCCATTGCCACAGTTTCAGAAGCCCAAACTCTGCTTGTGGTCCCAGTTAACTGGTAAGCTTTTGGTGCCCCGTGGTGATTTTTTTCTTTTTTGGAATGAAGTTTGCTTCTGGTTTCATAGACTTCAGTGGTCTGTCCTCCATTATTTGTGTGTCCCTGGACCCATCAACCATCAATGCCTGAGGCAGGTAGAAGAGCTGGAGAGGTCATAACAGCAGGAGAGCTGTTCCTGCCCCTCATCACCTGCAGCCCCTACACCTTGCTTGGGCAACACAGTAGAGCTGAACCCTCTGGTGGAGGTGTGAGAGAACGGACCCTGGGGATGTGAAAGCAGGTGAAAGAAAGCAGGAGAACTGGCCCAGCCCTTTGCTTATCACTTCAAAAGGGGTGAATTAGCCAGGGCAATGCAGGAGAGCTCACCCTGGTGGTGAAGACGGGAGAGCTGGCAGGCTGACCAATCCTGAAACTAACCAGGCCCAGAACTAGGGTTATGTGTTGGCCCACCCCAACATCTACCTCTCTTCGATCTGCTGGATCATTTGCGAGGGGTGGAGGTGTCAGTCCTGTGGACCCAGGGTAGCAACATGATGTACAGGAGAGTCCTAGTGAGGGCCCAGAGTTGATGGTGTGGCAGAGACCAGGGGCCTCCTACCAGACCAATGATTCTTTGTGATGAACCCTGCATGTAAAAATGTATGGGCAAAGGGGTTTACAGGAGCAGGGACCAAGAGTGCTGCTGCTCTTCCAGAAGACTGAAGTTTGATTCCCAGTACCTACAGATGGCTCACAACGGCTTGTAAATCCAGCTCTAGGGGATCCAATGCCTTCTTCTGGCCTCAGTAAGTGCGCGCGCGCACACACACACACACACACACACACACACACACACACACACACACACACACAAATACACTCACACTCACACAGAAGAGAGAAAGAAAAAGGATGACATAGAGAAGGCAGAGAAAGGGTTAAGCAGCAAGTCTGTGGGTCTATAAGTATTTGTTGTAGTATTCTTTCCACCTTACTGTGAGTCTGAAGTTATATTTAAAAGATTTTTGTCAGGAAGCACAGGGCCTGATTGCAGAGTTCAAAGTGCTGGCCATGCTTGTTTCTATGACCCAACTGTCATGTGAGGTTTCTCAAGTATCAGCGTAAAGAGAAGAACCCACATTATCTGGCCTGGCATGGTCTGGTCTTACAGCTGCAGGATGCGGAGAGCCCATCTCTAGGCTGCTGTCCTCACACAAGGACTTAGTAGAGCTGGGAGCTTGGTAGATTCTTGTTTGTGAACAGACACCTGACTTTTTTTTTTTTTTTTTTTTTTTTTTTTTTTTTTTTTTTTTTGGTCTTTGCCCTAGATTCCCTCTGGCTTAGCTTATTTTCTAGCACTTCTCCATATCT